TAACATCTTTACTTACACATTTTTTCTTATTAATTAGGAGATTCTATTCAGCTTGCGTTCGGAAACCCATAGAGAAATGGGCTTCAAGGCGTTGGGCCTGTAACCGGGTCCAAAAAGAAATTTACCCGGATTTCCGGGTTGGCCGAAATGCATGGAGCCGGTACTTCTGCGGCTGTCTTCATCTCATCAATAAGATGGTCTAAATATTTTATAATTATTGATGTAGGGTGAGGTTGCTTTTATATTATTAAGGGTTCCTCTTATTAATAATTATGAAATATATAATTAATCATTATATTTCTAAAATCAAAACATGAATTAATACTATAAGTGATAATTAATTTAATTTTTTTATCACAAAATAATATGATGTTGAACTTTATTATTATTTTTTTTATCAATGGTACTTTTTGGGAAAAAAAGGGTTAAACTTAACCTTAAGAACTGAGTGATACATATCATTACCAAGCGACTTATAAGGTCAGGTGTGTATTGAATTTTATTTTTTAATTTGTAAAAAATAGGAAATTACAAAAAACAGTAATTCTACTACAAGATTACGCACGCCTGTTGGTGATATATCCAACTTTATTTATTTTTAGCTTCATTAATTGTAACCTTTATATTATCGCATAGAAGCGGAACTCATTATGGGCAGAAAGTAATAAGTAATTGGTGCTGCCGCTGCAAGAGAAGGTGCTTGAGGTGTCATCAGAAGCATAACTATAAGCTTGAGGACACTTGTTCTTGAAGAACATTGAATAGCTTGTGGGTTTGCAAGTACTTGACGAATTGTATTGATCTTTGCAACAGTACTGCGGTTCATTGAACGCCAAGCAAGCGCTTTTACAACCGATAATGCTCCCATCAGACCTTGTAATAGCCAGATTCAACGGACAGTCTGCATTAATGTTAACGCCACAACTGGTCGTGGTGCATTTTTCACCGGAGCCACCTTGTGGAGTTATCGAGATCGGTAAGTTAAGGCCATCCACGAGGCTGATGTGGTGAGTGTCTTGGGCCCCCGTTTGATGCCGGTGTGAATTCTGCGAGGGATGCAGGCGGGGCTCGCCCGCACCATTGCATGCAACTTGGCCACGGCCGTAGTCGGCTGTAGCACAGGTGAATCCTCCGAAAGAGTCTGATGACTCGATGAGCATTGTGTTCTAGCCCACAACCTGCCACTGTTCCATGGAGCAGGAGTATCAAGGGTGACTGATGCTTGGGAGGCCAACTCGAAACCAGCGTGTGATAACTGGGCTGCACCACCGCCAGTTTGGGTTTGCTGGCCATTTTGTGTAGGGGCAATTGTTCTTCACGGTGAGAGTTGCTCAGCGAATCCCTGCAATGAGAAAATACATGCATATTAAATTAATTAATGCCGTTTTGATAAATCATTAGAATAAACATTTGATGTACCTACAGTAAGAATTTGAACTACTAGTAACTAAATATCTTTTTATAAAATAGGTTTAGGATTCACATCTTAATATTTAATAAATTAATTTTTTTAAATGCACTGAGTTGATATGAAGTATGCTTTTAAGATTTTCTAAAAGAGACTTAATCTTTATATACTTAAAACATGTTTGAGACACTTTGATTGTAAATTAAAAAATAAATAAATAAAAAATACATTTGATGTACCTGTAAAGAGAGTGACCAAGGTAATGCCAAAGGAGTAAATATTCACTGTTTTTGGTTGTCCTTAATTCCTTGGGTACTACAAATTTTTTTATGAAGCTATGTGTTGGTCAGGGAGGATGAGATGGATGTGTATAATGATAACAGTTATGCCTTCATTTCAGTTTTTTTTTTAATTATAAAACTAATAATTTGTTTGGATTGAGGAAAATATAAAAGAGAAGATAAGAGAAAAAAATTTTTTTTAACTAATTAAATTATAATTTTCTTAAAATATTATAATTTAATTAATTAAAATATATTTGTCTCACATCTTCTTCATTCTTCTTAATCCAAACACAAGGTAATTTCTTCCTTTGTGTTGCTTCTTTCCTTGTTAGGGACATGTTGGGAGATCAAGTCTAATTAGTACCGTTTGCAGTCTTTAAAGGTTGAATTAATTTAATAATAAACATGTAAAACGACCAACAACACAGTTGGGAGATGACTTAGCTAGTAAACACATGATATATGAGGGCAAAGGGCCTCCGATCGAATTTTTTCACAAAAAAATACAGAAAAAGGAGGATGAGGAAATCCAAAACTCAGAGAGTCACGAAGTAATCTTGCTATTGTCAGGAAGAAGTGAAATTTTGTGGACTATAAATTTTGGAAATTGCAAAAAAAAAAAAAAAAAACTGATAATTAATATTGTTGAGAATGACAATCAAAAAACTTTAAATAAATTAATGAATCCACATATAAAAAATTCAACAAAAACATATGAACAACTTCACAAAAAAATTTTGATAATGTAAAGTCATGATTTTTATTTCCGCTCTATATTCCCCTTTCTTCACCAAAATATGAAACCTATCTTTTTCTAACCTTTTCTTTTTCTTCCTTCACACCGGGATTCTTTGGATGTGGTTATCGCCACTCACGAATTTATTAAGGTTACCTTATTACGTTTAATTTAATTATTAAAAATAATTGATAATTAATAAAATAATTAATATTTATTATTTAATAAATTAAAATTAATTTATAAAT